TTTGTCGGCGGTCGATTGCCGGCGGATTTTTTTGCTTCGATTCGTTCAATTTTGAGCTTCTTCTTCTTCTTCGATTTTTTGTTAAAATTTCTTTTGTGCTTTGCCTGTAACAGCCTCTGCTCCGGCGCCACAGCAAGGCGGTCCACCGGCAGGTAAATTTTCCGAACTTCTTTGGGTATTTTCGTCATTTCATAATTTCGATTTTCTGCATTTGGAGAAATTTGTGAATTTTCTTCCTACCCTTCACATATGAGTCTATGACAGCTGGACTTTTTGATTAATAAGTTAATTGATGTTTTTCTTTTTTAAAAAAAATAAATTTTTTTCTTTTTTCAAATTTAGTTAAGAATTGAGATGAAATTGTGGAGGAGCAAGTATAATTTTTTAAAATATAAAATAAAAAACAAAATCATTATAGAACTACCTAAAATATTCACGCTTTTTTAATGAAGCAAATGGTCTACCCCAAATGTTTTTATTTTAATGTGAAATGGGGAATTTTTAAGCATTTTTCTATTCTGAAAAATATAATGTATTCTTTTTCTTTTTAAATTTGTGTTTTTCAAATATTTTGAAAATTAGAGTAGTTTTGCTGATGTATCGGTCAATTGGAAAGAAATACGATTGTTTTTTTTTTAATAAATAAACATGTTTGTGGAATAGATTATTTTAAAAAAATGTTAATGAAATTATTTGATGAATAAAAACAATGAATTGGTCTATTTTAGAAATTTCACATTTTTAAATATAATAATTCCAACGATCCTTTAATTTTTCTCTTTAATGTAAATAACTCTTCTTTTTAGAATAAAATAAATTAAGACTTTTGATTGAGCAAATTTCTGGATTATTTTGCATAAACCAAACACAATGGTGCCCACTTTTAGACTTTATAATGGTTTTTCACATCAATTGACAATCCAATGAAAACGAACATTTCCAAATTCCAACTATTTTTAATATTAATATGAATTTATTTTAATTTCTATACTTTTATAATGTCTATTTTGATTCTATACTTTTAAATAAAAAGTGATATTTGATCTCTATTTATAAAATTTTAAACAAATTTCAAGAACAGCAAACAAACATTTGCTCCCAAAATGTAAAAAATAAAAACAATAAAACAGATTAAGGGCATAATCTTTCCAGTGCTATACGTCTGAATTATGAAATGATATTTTGTGATCAATTTTGAAACAGTTCCTGGAAATGATGCTGAAAGATTTGCATCGACTGGATTTACATCTCTACTCCTCTTCGTAGCTTTCCTAATATTTTATTAGGATGAGTTGATTTAGGGCATAATCGACCAAACTTTTTAGAGTAAATAACATTGAGCTTTCTATGTACTTTAGGAGTGATGTGAAAATGAGACTCCGAGCATTTGTTTGCTTTGTTTTATTTGTATGTTTGGTCCCTTTACCACAATATTTATTTGATTTAAAACGATTGTGTAATAGTCATGCTGATTTGATCACTTACAATAATGCGATACTTTTCGTATTCTATTTTACTTATTGATCAGCTCCTATCCTACCACATATATAGTACATTTTGTTTTGGCCGTTATTTTTCATTTATTTTGTACTATTTAAGAATAATATATAGTTATAAGTAATTATACTAAACTATATATAGAACACAGAAATGATTCTAAAGTGATATATGAAACAAGTTTCTATAAGATAGAATTTTGTCACTGGCATAGATGTTATAGTACAAGAGACAACTATAATTTTTAAAAAATACAAACACTTACTTTTAACATTAATGCAGCAATGGAACTAGATTTGATGAAGAATAATGCTAGTCGTCATACTAAGGAAAAAAACACGTCACTTCATCATCTAATTAACAAAATTAATAGAAGATACTATATAACATCATAATTCAAAATTTAATGACATAATTAAAATTTTTTAAATTTTAGGGGTCAAATAAATACAATTATTAAAATTCATTAACTAAATTTATGTTTTAACCTAAGTATAAATAGAAATGTTAATGTTTGATGAATTACTCGTAGGATATTATCATATGTTAGTATTCATTGCAAAATATAATTCTTATCGCGTAGTGTTAGAATTAAAAAACAGAATGACTCCAAAAGATTAAGAGAAAAAAAAAAGCATTTTTTAAGGGTAAAGCTTATAACTTTTAAAAAGTTAACATTGAGATAATTATTTGAATTAGACTAAAGCATGAGAGGATTGTTTGCTTTCTACATTATTTTCGTTAATATTATTTAATTCATTAAAAAACAAAAAACCATTGTTCTAAATTAATAATAGTAAAAAGCCAAGGTTGCGGGTGATCAAGAGGGCCAAGAGACATTGTAAAAAAGAAAGAAAAAAAAAACTTATTGAGCATTATTACAAGTATTTATAGAAAAAATAATAACCGACCACAACTTACTACTTACACAGATATGCTTCAAATTCTCTCTAACTAACACCAAGAAACACTCATGTTTGCAATAGTCCGATAACCCTTTCGTTTTCCTTTTTATATTTTTGAAAATTAAACTTAGAAATATTACTTTTCACCTATGGGTTTCTTTTATTTTGTTATATAGCTTTTATGAACTTTTTCAAAATCTAAACTAAATTTTGAAAACAAAAAATAATAGTTTTTTTTCTATACAAAGATTTACTTATTCTCTCTTTTAGTTCATGTACTTTGGAAATATCTCATTTGGTTTTAGAGATGCTCGTAATTTCAGATGTTAGATGTCCGACATCTTTAGATAACCACGTTTTTTTCGTAGAAATATTTTTATTGATATCCGAGAATATTTGTATAGCCACGTTTGAAGATTTATTCTTAGGAATGTGTTAAATTTATATAATGTTCCAAAAATGCCCCATAAATATTTATATAATTTATAAATTCATCTAATATAATAGATTTATTTGAATTAATTTAATACTTTTATTTTTTATATGTTATTTTTTAGAACAAATTAATTCATTATTAATTTAATATAAGTTTGATTTTCAACTTTAATAGTTTAGGACAATTATATAATTTATGTTATCTTGGATAAAATTTATTTATTCTATCATCACATTATATTTCTTTAAGATGAAAAATATCATAGGTATGTTGGCTGAAAAAAAAGTGTTGCTTTACAATTATATATTTATGATAATAAATATTATTAATAATGTAATTCCTTCACCATATAAAAATAAATGGATATATTATATAATTTAATTATAGTTTATTTTACATGTAAATCTAATGTACAAATATACTTAATAGCATAAAGTTATTTATTAAACGATGAGTATATTAATTTATTTTAATTATAAATTTAAAAATAAAAATAAAGAAATTTTTTAGAAAAAATTTAAAAAAATTGATGAAAGAAAATATGTGGAGAAAAAAATTGAGGGCAAAAATGTAAAAAGTAAATACCCTCATCACGGGAATCTTGGAAACTCGTGTTTCAAAAGGGCATCCAAAACTCGTAAGATATCTATGGATATTCTAGGATACTCGGACATCTCGAGATATTGGAGTATCTTAGTAAAACAAACGTGGAAATACAAATGCCTCGTCTCACGAGAATCTTGGATTCTCATGAAACAAAGGCCCTACAGAAAATAATCATTTCTGTCTCTAACCTCAAAATATCTATTTTAGTACTTAATTTTTTTTAAGTAATTATTTTGGTTATTGCTTAATCAATCAAGGTTGGAAGTATAACGATGAAAAATAGTTATTTTGAGAGTACGAAGACTAGAATAAAATAAAGTTCAACTGTTCATCAAAATAATATTTGAATTGAAAAAAAAAAGAATAAAATACTTTGTTTCTCTTCTGCTCTGTGTTCTCTCACTCTACCTCTTTTTCCACGTTCAACTCGAATCTGCAGCAGACGAAGCCCTGTTTGTCAGCGGTACGCATACCCTTTTATCATTTTTTGCTTTTAATCCGATAATCAATCAATTTCCACTTCTTTCCCCAAGTTCAAGAATTCATTTTCTGGGTTTTGATTCTGTTGCCCTAGCGTTTATGCCATATCTTTGGGATCAATTTTTGACGATTTTGTATGTATTGAATCTACTATGATTGCATTCTAAGACTGCTCTTTTCAATTTGGAGGAGGGTCTATTGCGTTCCGCACTGGTATAAATTTAGGCAAATCTGAGTTTCTTCTTGTGGGTTTGAAGAATGGGACGATGAATTTAGCTGCTTTTGTCTATCCTCTGTCATGCGCTGTAATTTGATAAATTATAATTTTAAATTTGGGAGATTATGTACAGGCAGTATGGATCTTTCTTAAAATTTGAACAAAACCAGTTTTCTTCCCTGTTAGATAGTGCGACTATTTTAGCTAAGGCTTGCTTTTCAGTTTTGGTTATCTGAAAATGAGTGCGAGATTGTGATTATAGATCAAAATTACAATATATGGATTAGAAACTTAATGGCAGTTTTTTTTTTCTTGCTTTTTTAGTGGGGGTTGGGGGCTTGCAAAAATGTCTCTGTTGTCCAATTTTTTAGTATATTAGTTGATTCTAACTTTAGGTATGTAAACTGTTCGTGAGTGTTCGGGCTAACATATACACACCCGAGACAATTTATCTGACCTTGCTACATCTGGTTTCCAAGTTAACTCATAGGATATTAAATTCTAGGTAAGTGACCACCATGATCTGAATCCATTTCCTTTAGCCCTTTACTCTTTACATGGGTTCTTATTGACCACTAGGCTAATCCACGATGGTTGATGTTCTAACTATCAATTGAAAATGCATATGTTTTTCATACGTCAGTTCAATTGATGTTGATTTGTAATCAGACTTTGTTTTACTCTGCATCCTCGTTATGCGTCGCAAGTCGTTAGTGTAATTAATGGGAAAAAAATTTATGTACAAAGAGAGCCCAAGAGATGTGATGAGGAGTATACAAGGAAGGGTAGGGAGAAGTTTTACCAACATAAACAACTTGATAACCCAAGATAGTTTCGTTCTACTCATTTCGTTGATGAAGAACAGAGGTTGCAGTTGGATCCGTGTGATTGGAATTGGTAAACAACATGACTGTTCATTTGTCTGAAGATTTGGAAGTAAGTTATAATTGGAAATTTGTGTGCAAAATTTTGAATTGATTTTCCATAGTCCTATAGTTCTCCTGATTCTTGATTAAACATTAACTAGTCAGTATATTCCTCTATTTGGCATTCATGCTAACATTAGGCTGATTGCCACAGTTGTCTTTAATGTATAGTTAACTTTTACAGAATAAGCACAAGAAAGAAATCATTATGTTTTCTTTTTTTTTTTCCGTATACTTTTACATAGTTTTTTTTCTTTATCCTTCTGGTTTCTGCTTTAACAGTATCTCGGACATCCTTGAGGAGTTTTTTCTTCTCTCCTATTTCTTTCTTTATCCTCCTGGCTTCTGCTTTAACACTATCTCAAACTTCCTAGAGGGGATTTTCTTCTCTTCTATAGGATTTGATAGTTTATCAACTTTGACATAAATCTTCTGTGTCTTCTTGGTTCAGTGTGCTTATTATTTTTGTAGGCTTTGGCTGAACAATAATAATTTGCAATGATCCCCTTAAAAGTTAATCATTTTCTTAATTTTATTAAGAATTTGTTTGATGGAGGTGAAATTTTGCTGTGGAATATATTTGCCTTGGACCTTTCTTTGCCCTCTCCTTGTATATACATGTAATTGATGTGTTTATGATTGGAAAACAATGAATGCATACCGCTTACCTGCTAGTTTGGGCAGTGGTGGTAAAATTTGTTAAGATATTATAGCCTTTAGTTTGAATCCACGAAGTATGGACTTCGACACGAACAAGACACAATATGGATACGGTGGCATGTCATTTTTGGGAAATTTGGACTCCAAATTTATTTGGCATATGTTCTTGAACTGTTTGGCAAATGTTTCTGATGTGTTTGACAAGTGTCCTGCACGCGTTTGATGTGCTTTATAAGCGTTCAACAATTGTCAATATGCTTTACAAGTATTTCACATATGTCAGAGTGTTCTATGAGTATAAACACAAATACATTTGCCAAACAGTATCGTGTATGTGGTTATACAGGCTTAAGTGTATTTGCTTCTATCAACACAAATACATTATCCACACTTAGTGTATTTGCTTATGTTCTTTGTGTCGTGTATATGGATTATCTTGCTGAATATGACCATAGCACAAATGATGTTATACAGGCTACTACAAGTCAGTCGGAGGCAGCTTTCTAATATCTCGAAGCCGGCATGTTTGTTTTTGAAAACGAGGTCCTCTGTAGGAGGGAGGCATAACAATTCTTTTCTCCGAAAGAAGGTTGGAATTGTAGGATTTGTTTCAAATTGTTAAGTTCTTTAGAAAGGAACTCATTTGTTTGTTTTTATTTGATTTTGAAATTATTAGGTGACTGCTCAGACAATCAGCGTGGAATTTTTATCCCTGATCCGTTAGGGGAGATTAAATTTTATATTGCAGCTGGAATGACTTCTTGGATGTGATGAATGGCACTTTTGCATCCAGTAGCTTACGTGCTGCTTTCTCGCACTGCGTACAGCAGGTGCGAAGCTATGACTACCATCACTACCTTTGCCTCCTCGAACTCCCCCCTTCAATGAGGAAGGCTGCATTCGCACTCCGAGCATTTAATGTCGAAACGTCGAGAGCCATGGACGTTGCTTCTGATCCCAGGATAGGTCTTATGCGCCTTGTGTGGTGGCAGGAAGCTATTGACAAAATATATGCCGGTAAAAAGATTGAACATCCAATAGCCCAAGCCCTTTCATCTGTGGTCTCTGAGAACAAAATTAGCAAACTGTGGATGAAAAGGTCTGTCGAAGCTCGGATTAACGATGCGAGATGGGAGGACACCGACATTCCAGGAACCATTGATGAGCTAGAGAAATATGCTGAGGATACTGCATCAACACTAATCTACATGACCCTTCAGGCAGGTGGCATAAGGTCCACAGTAGCCGATCACGCAGCATCTCATATTGGTAAGGCAGGCGGGTTGCTTTTGTTGCTCAAGGCATTACCATATCATGCTACTCGAAATCGCCATTCTTCTTACATTCCCGTTAAAGTGGCTGAAAATCACGGCTTGTTGGCGAAGCAGGGAGGGCGTTTCGAGATACAGTTAGACTCAAGAGAGAGCCTATGCGATGCGGTTTTTGAGATGGCTTCTGTAGCTAATGCTCATTTGCAGAAAGCTCGAGACCTGGTCGGAACGGTACCGAAGGAGGCTCTGCCTGTACTTTTGCAGGCTGTGCCTGCTCAAGTTCTGTTGGATTCTTTAAGAAAGGTACATTTTGATGTGTTTGATCCAAGGTTACAACGTGGAGTTCTGGGAGTTCCTCCTTTGTGGTTTCAACTGAGATTGAAGTGGTCTTCTTGGAGGGGAAAATATTAAATTTAGTTTTATTTATTTTTGGGAAACTCATTTGTTAAACCCAATTTTGATCTTAAATGTTTGGTCTCATCGAATTGAGTTTCTAAATTTAAATATGTGATAGAAATTAATACCCTCAATTAGTTTTCCATCTTTTGGACAATTTGAGATTTTGTGAGATTAATGTTGGTTCTTTTGAACGTGTCGAATATTTTTTAGCTGGATTTGAGCATTTTATTGTCAAGTTTGAGCGCCTTAATTGGTTTATTTTAGGTTACTTTTGTTACCATATATATATATAGCTAGACAGGTGTGATTGATTTGATGAATGATCTACCTCCATAAGATGTGACGTATCCGGGGAACTATTGTGAGCTCACTGCTTGGGTTGAGATATACTTACTACCCACGGATGACAAAAAAATCTGCGGGATCCGATCTTTGTGGGTATCCAACCTGATCGGGTCGGGAATCCCCGGTTTGACCAGGGACGGGGTCAAATTGGGGATCCCAATCGGGGTCCCCAACGAGGATGAAGAAGTTCTCCTCGCCCCGTCCCCGTTTAATATTTTAATATATAATAATATTAATATATATTAATTTTAATAATACTTCTAAAATTTTTTAACTTTAAAAAGTCCAAGCCCAATGCCTATTTTTTCTTTTACTTTTAACATCCATAAAATAAAAATAATAAAAAAAATAAAAAATAAAAAAATTTATCGGGATGTAGATCGGAGAATTCYCACCCCGTCCCCGCACCCAAAATTTCAAGGACGGGAGTGGGGATGGGGGAAAAATTCCCCAACGGGGCAGGGATGGGGATAGCCCCTCGATCCCGTCCCGCCCCATTGCCATCCCTATTACTACTTATGGAGTCCACATGGAAATCAGCACTAAAATTAGCCGGTAGGTGCAGAATTTTCCCAAATAAATATGGAACAAGGTTCACTTTGAGGTATGCAATCTAATCTTATTTGATCTAGAATAGTTCTAAGCATAAGAGAATCTTTGACTAGTACCACATCGGTGTTTAGTTTCTTGTTCATAGGTGTTCCAATAAAAGTCTATTGGACGAATTACACTGTCGTAGAAAAGCTAGATTCTCGAATGCTAGTAGTTTGATGGTTCGTGCGTTTGACACATGTTTTGACATTGTGTGTCCATAACTGAAAAAAGAAGAAAAAGACAAATTATTTCTAATCTTAGTCTCATTTCTCTCTATTGTCATTGTATATTGAACAAGAGATATCTGACCATATAGTCGTATTTGTGCTTTCAAAATATAATTTGGGGCCATCGTCAATATTATACTTTTTTATTTTATATTTTACATATATAATGGAAATCATGTAATGATTGAATAGCCAACATTCAACTCGATTTTTAATTAATTAATAAAATTTTAAAATAGATTGAATCATCTCAATTAATTGATCTCTTAATTATCTCTAAGACATGGATTATTACCTATCAAATGGGATGACAAGAAAAATATTGAAAAAGTAAATATAACCACAAAGTTGAATTAATTTCAGCGTGAAAAGTTTTATTACCATATTCTTACACTTCATTTAAAATTTATTATATGTCACTGCAACTAGTAAGGAGTAACAAGTCAAGAACCCAATGTGACAAATCATTTATAGATATAGAAATGAGTTTCATGATATGACATTTTATTTTTAGTAATGTAGAAATCTAGCAGTCACATTAGTTGAAAAATATGAATTTGAGGCTGGTTTAGAAAGAAGGAGAAAGAATTAGGACTAATCTTAATTTTGAATGTCAAGTTGTAGCTTAAGTAATGTTGGGATAGAATTTTGTCACTGTTTTTAGAAAGTACCAACAAATATTTTGTAACATTAGATTTTTGTTTATCTCTAGTTAATGGTAATTAAAATATCTTTAGTTTTCGTAGGATGATAATTAAATATTTTAATTTTCAAATTTAAAAGGGATAGTTTACTGAGGAAAAAAAGCCAAGTTAAGTAATGCAATATGTTGGTAGTTACAACCAGAATGGACACGTATAAACACCTTCTCAGTTCTGACTCATAAGAAGGTAGTAAATGGACCCTCCATATCCACTGATCTGATCCAGGCCGAACTAAGATGAACAATCCATATCAACCGACCTGAGGAATCCGATCTCAGATTCGACCACCGACCTAGTCGTAACCGCCCATCGGAACGACTCTGTTTGGGGATGGAAAATACCCTGGACACGTGGAGGACCCCTATTGGTGCTCCAAGATGGCCCATGAGTCATGCCCAGCTCGGATAGCCGAGATGGCTGCCACCAACGYCGGCGAAAGCTAAGTATGAGGGCYGAGGTGAACCTGGCCYAGGTCTGACCTACCAGGGAGCTMRGTAGGGGCCGATGTGAGCAACTGTCTGCGGCGTGATTACCGGGTGTAACCGTTGGTCCCGAGATTACCGGGTGTAACCGACGGTCCCGAGATTACCGGGTGTAACCATCGCGAGATTAGCGG